ACTTTGTAAATTATATAAATGTCTAACCACTATGTTGTACACCTGGAACAAATATAAAATAATACTGAACGTCAACTGTAATTGAAAATTTTTTTAAAAGAAAGAAGCAACACCCCCTCCAATAGGGATGGGAGCTCCCTCACTCCCAATTTTCCCTGAATCAGAAATTCTACTAAAGCTGAAAGTAAAAGTTGTCCAATTGACTGCTAGTTTCACGTCAACTTTGGCTTACTCTTAAGGTCTAGTAGCATGAATTTCAGAGGAATGATTGCTTAAGGAAGGTCTGTTTTGCCAAGACTTTGAAAGAACACAGCTCTCTGCAAGGATCCTCAATTATTGCTTCAAGCAAGTCAGGGGATCTTTGCTCTCCTCCACCAAGATATGGTAAAGCGTCTTTGAAAATGTGGTGTAACAGGAAACACTCTGCTTGGTAGGAATGGTGAGGCAGAGTTCACGGGATAAAAGGCTGGTAGCAGCAATGTGAACATCTCTTAGGGCAAAAGGCTGTGCAGCTCTCCCCTAGGCATGACATCGGACCCCCCAGGCAGTCGGTCTCTTTTCAGAGACAAGGGCAGAAGATGAAGCATGACCTACTGGCTTTTCTCTATGGGCCCAACCCAGCTTTCCAATTCTATCTCAGGCTTCCTCCAACCCAGCCCTTCAGAATCAGGGCATCAGCCCTCACTCTCCGCACGCTCAGGCTATTCTCCACCCGGACACTGTCCTCTCCATGACACCCAGCAAGCCTCTTGTACAAAACCACCATGACTACTAGTCCCACCAGAATGATCCTCTCTAAACTCCTGAACCAAGAATTGCTGGCACTACTTAGCAATAAATAAATACCCTGTGTTCATTTTTAGTTATCTTCATACATGTATCTCTGTTCCCTGACTTGAGTATCAGCACCTTGGTAACAGGATTTATGTTTTCCTTCATCCCCCCCACAATGCCTGGCACAATAACCAAAGAAGGCACTTAATTTTATTTTTGCAAATAAATAATTTTATTTGTATGGTTTGTATTTTTAATGCTCAGGAGTAAAATACTTTGATGCAGCAGTCATGAGAAAAGCTGGCAATTTAGGCTGATAGCATTTTCCCTCTTCAGCAAAACTCTTTGTGAGACAACCAACACCAGCCCAGTTCTCCAAGTCTGTGCAAAACCCTTTGGGGCTCACAGAAAAATAAACTAGCCTCAGTCAATGGACAGCCTGATCACAGTAAAGTAGGAAGTGCCAGGGAGTCTCCCGCATTGGCCAAGGTGGTTCCAGGGGAGGTTCTTACACTGAGCACGCCAGAATCTAGAAAGATGAATGGATAGAGCCCGAGTGCACCAACAGCTATCGAGATAATTAAAGAAAAAAAAAA